GCGCTGCCGGTGTCGGAAGCCGTCAGACGCGCGGGTGGGGAGGAGGGGTCCCACCGTCCCGCGCCCGGCGCAGAATGAGGCCGGGGCGTGCGACAGCCTGGTGGGGTGCGTGCCCGGGGACTGCCGCCTCTTCCAGTGAGTTGCAAGTTGTTTCTTGTCTTTACCTTCTCTTAATGTTACTCATACTAGGAAGAAACGTGCTAAGTAACGTTTTTCAGTGAAATGCTGCTTCAATTTATACCGCTTCTGCAACATTGCTGTTTAAGGAGGGGCTGCAAGCCTCGAGCTGGCATGCACACTTCATGAACGTGAATCTAATCATACGAAGGGGAATGTGAATGCTGATGCTTCCTTTGTTGTTTATGAAGTTATGTTTAGGGTTTTTTCTGGGAACCAAGCCATTAATGAAATGCTGTGAAATGTTTTGTGTATTCTCCAGTTTCTTTGTTCCTCCTAGTTTAAAGCGTTGCCTATGTTGTAACATGTCTTTGTTTTCCTGTGCATAGGGATCAACTACCCAATATTCTGCTTATTTTAACCACATAATCATTTGATGCTGTGTTACCTTTTCACCTATGTCCATTTACATTTCTGCCTGATTAGATGTTCAGCAGAAAGACCCCAGGAGGCATCTCTTTGTTTCACGCAAAGTCAGTAGACCGTTGCCTTAATGGAAATTGTGGAAAGCACCTTTAAAAAAATGGCACCCAAAGTACATTTTTTGTTCCATTTTACTAAAAGAATCGAAATTTTGCTTAACCTTGAAACACAGTTTCCACACAGGTGGTAACGAACTGTCCTGCATTGTCTTCTGGCAAAGGCTGGCAATTCCTCCAGGGATGGCGTGGGATCATTCTGGGCTGGCGGCTCGGTTCTTCCTCCCTTTGGCTACCGAAGGGCAGGACAGCCCGGGGCAGTGTGGCCCCTCGGAGCACCTTGGCCGGAGCTGGAGCCGGGGAGCCTCACCCTGTGGTGAGGGTGATGGGGTGATGGTGTACCCCTCCTGGCCTGGGTCTGGATATCGTGCCCCCACCCGCCGTGTCCCCTCCCACGGGATTTCTTTCGCGAGAAAAGAAATCACATCTTCAGTAATTTACCGTTTTGTTTTCTTCTTTGCAAGCCGTATCCAACCCCTCCAGCCACACACACCCGATGGAAGTGATTTCCCGACACCGTCGCTCGGTGTGCAAACTGTCATCGCTCGCTTTTTCCCTGGCTGGGCCGTTTTTGCAGTTATTGAAGCCAAGTACTTTGGGTGATCTGTTAACTCACAATGTCATTTTTTTCCAGGTTTACAAAGCTATCCAAGCATGAAACACAGTTCTCGCAAGGCAAATGTTCTTATTTCAAGCAGGCTGCATTTTACAAACTGACCATTTAAATTACATGTGTAAAGCCTCAAAAACCCGTGCCAAAAATCTTATGCATGTATGTTGTCTGAAACTGGCTCAACAAACGTTCTGGGGGATGTCTCTGATTCCTTTATTTCCCTAGAAGCATCCTCTGTAAGCACATTTGGCAGCCCTGGGGCGTGAGTGTAATTAATTCGTTACGTTCATGTATAATGCATACGGATGCAATCCAGCTGGGAAGAGCATGGGATTCTGGTGCGGTGTGGTACAACATCGCAGGCACAGGGGAAGCTTTTGGGCTGTGCTCACTAATTTTTCGTTATTAGGCAGGGCACAGGCTGCCCTCATTAGAACTCTCTAAACGGAGTTCAGGGTCGGATCCTGGCACATGAATCCATTGAGCTGCCCTCCGGCCCCGGCACACCTCCGAGCTCCACACGCGTGAGCGTGGCTCAGCGCTGGAGAGAGGGAGGTTTGGTTCCGCAATACCAAAGGCGTATGCGGAAATACTCCTGGAGGACCTGCAGCTTGAAGGTGGCCGACCCAAGGGCGCTGAGCACAGCTCTTGAAACT